TCTGTAGTTATTCTGTACTACTGTTGGGTAGTAGTATATTAAGTGGTCCAATGTGGTTCATATCTTTTGATGTTATAATGTACAAAAATACCAGATAATTCCTGAAAATTTTGAACAAGTTCATGGAAAGACATAGATTGTCAAGTTTTTAAACTCACAAATTGGAGAAACCATTTAGAGATTACAGTACCTGCATCATAGTACATGTCGGGGGCTCAAAACAATGCTGAGTTCAAGTACCAAAACTTTCTGCTAGAAATATGACCTGGTTTTCTATTTTGTCTTGCACAGCTGACAGAAAACAGGTCATTGATAGCTCAATCTTTTGTCTGTACATCCTTTTGCACATCTAAGTACCTCACAAAAAATTTTGGTATTTTAAAAACATAGTTTGAATAATAAATTGATACATTTTAAAACTTCACGTCAGTGTCTGGGTCAGAGAGAATTTATGGAGTTACTATTTATAGATTGTTAAAGACACCTCTCAGAACAATATCAAGGCTGTCGTATGTGGACATTTCTGGGATTATAGCACAGACACTTTAATACCCACCTAAGGAATGACAGGGGTCTTAAATAGGCGGTCATATTTACTAGAGAAACCTAGAGTTTTCTTAGATTGCCAACCTTAGTAAGACAAGAAATGTCAGGGTGACAGAGTTTAAGTGGCTCTTTTCAGATATGTTACACTGATTCTCTATATTTAAAATGCAAAACAGCCTCCCAAAGCTATTTAATTAAGTGAAAGTAAGTCTAGTCCCTTTGGAACCAAATGGTTCAGTGAGCAAACGCATATCAGCAAGTGGAGGGAGAGGAGGAAGTTATTATGTGCTTCACAGACACGGTGACACGCTATAACCCTATATCAGGGATTCTAAACAGTGATTGGTGGAGAAAATTATCAAACTGAGTTTAAATTTCGGCAGGTACGAAATTATCATGCAAAAGTCTAGGACAGTGTGCCACTCAGGCTCCAAAGAAAAAGATAAGAAATCCTGGATTTTCAAAGTCCCTTTGAAGGCTTTTAAGGTAAGATGAAACATCCTCTTTACTCAGAACCAACAGATACCTTTAGAAAGAAATTTGAATTTCAGAGAAGCCAACTAGACTTTAAAAAGTGAATAAACCCTGTATGATTAGATTTTTTTCCTCCTCTTTTGACTTGTCAAATTAAGAGTTTGTTTTAAAAGATCTCGAGAAATTATGTGGTAAGCAATACTGATTCCATCTAGCAAAATATTGCATTACTGAAGAGTAGGTTTTTTTTGAAAAAATAGCCAGTGTTAAAATACCAGTTGCTAATAGAAAGAATATATGTAAGATGAGGCAAATATTTTAAATCTAAAATCTTAACAACAGAATGAGTGATTAAAATATTTTATGTATAACTCGCTAAAGTGCCATTACTGTTATTTTTATTCAGAAACCCAGTTTTGAGAACCTTGAGCCTAGTTAAATGATTTTTTTAGTCTCATCAATGCAATGTAAGACATGATGGGATTGAATGAAAAGGAAACAATCTCTTCCTTTTTTTATTTATTATTATTTTTAAAAATTATTATTATTTTTAATCCTCACACAAGGATATGTTTTTATTGATTTTCAGAGAGAAAGGAAGGGAGAGAGTTAGAAACATTGATGCAAGAAGCATCTATTACTCATCTCCTGCATGTGCCCTGACGGGATCAAACCTGCAACCTAGGTATGTGCCTTGACTGGGAATTGAACCCACAAACTTTTGGTGTATGGAACGATGCTCCAACCAACTGAGCCACCTGGCCAGGGCTCTTCCTCTTTTAAATAGTAACAATAGTAACACTTAAACACTGATTATGTTAAAAAATAAACATGAATTTGATTTAGCACATTAAGTTATATTTATTTCAAAGTTTGTCTAATCAATTCGGTGATAAGGCCCATGTCTGTCTTCTAGAGCCTTTATCTGGCTCATATTAGATCTTCAAATGCTTGTTGAATTCATGAATGGATCTCAGTTTACATATAACTTCTTGGTCCCTAAAAAAACCCCAATGTTTGACCTAAAAAATTAATTTTTTGCCAGTTGACATTAGGGCTTTAAAAGCTGTACCCAAACACTTCTACTCAGAATAGCTAGAGATTCTGACTTCTGTCAGGCTTTTCCATTTTACAAGATGATAGCTTTGAAAAAAGAAAGATACATTACTAAAAAATTGGCAAACTGAGGTGGAAATTTGATCATTATCTGGTGCTTTGGTTAGTTTTGTTAAGAAATTAGATAAGGCAGATTTAAAAAACCCATCTTGGGCTTTCAAACAGGACTTTAATTAGGTTTTGCTTTTCACTTAAAAAAAAGTTGTTCAGAATAGGTAAAATTTCTAAATCTCATTTAATTTGTGACATGAAATAATCTGGAGGGGGTACACATAATTCTTAAGACTCTGTTTTCAGGCTGACAAAATTAAGGGCATTTCTTTTTCTTCTTTTTAAAAAATATCTTATTGATTTCAGAGAAGAAGGGAGAGGGGGAGAGATAGAAACATCAATGATGAGAGAGAATCATTGATCGGCTGCCTCCTGCATGTCCCCTACCGGGGATTGAGCCTGCAACCTGAGTATGTGCCCTTGACCGGAATCGAACCCAGGACCCTTCAGTCCACAGGCCGACGCTCTATCCACTGAGCCAAACTGGCTAGCGTGAGGTTATTTCTATAGGAATCTTTCAAGCCATTTACCTACCTGTGGAAACAGCTGAGCATCATCATGCATCATTCAATTGTTCTGGAGCGGATATGAAAGGGATCTAATGTGGTCAGATTTCTGGATTGCAGTTTAGAAACGGGCTGCACATAACCCCGGCCTTCACTACAGGTACCTTTCCAGGACACCATGGCTCCTCCAAATCACAGTGTAGACTGGCCTTCGGCAGACTCTCTGTAATAATTAGGGTTGAGACTGCAAAGTACAGTATAATTCCTGCTTACTAAACAGCTGCCCTTCAACATCCATGCCAGAGCTCTGCATTATGCTTGTCCTGAGGCCACCTCGGCCTCGCTTTTCATCTACAGCATTTTGGAAGGAGGTCTTGGCTTTCTGCTGAGCGGCCACAAGAGTAAGCACTCCCCCCGCCCCTCTCTCAGTAGCCCTGAAACTGTGTCCTCTCTCCTGTGAAGAAATGCCAATGACTCTATGGCAGGTGATGTTCACGGAGGCTTCATTATGTTTCCACTAACAACAGTAAGTCCAATAAAGGCTATTTTATAACATGCAGCGTTAGAAACTATAAACCCAGTGGGAGTTCATGAAATAGGAGTAAAACTCTCCTTTCCTTTCTACAGTAATGGAATCATTACATCAAGCAATCCAATTTGCAATAAATGGGAATTTATTCACAAGTTTTGATTCACATGGACTATACAATGCCTATTCCAATGTATCAGAATGTATATCCGACCATTTCTGACTGTAAATTCTAACAGGAATAAAGGGTCATATGCTTATAAGTCCCTCATAATAATTGCTATTATTTATTAAGAGATTGCTCCATACAGAGGGCAGTGCCAGGTATTGCTTATATTAGTAAGTATTTATTCATCAACAATATTCAGAAAAGGTCTTTTTCTGTGCTCTGTATTGGACTACAGTGATTTCTAAGACATTCTCGTGGGTCTCGGGAGCGCTCAGTGGGGAACGTGCAGGTAGCCAGGCTATTTTAAAACAGTACAATAAACGCTGAGAGGCTCTCTGTATACTTTTCTTAATTGTCTGGCTGAAGTGTTTTTTTTTTATTCACCTCCAGTTTGAAAATCTGACTATTTTTGTAATTATGTTCTCTGTATATTTCATCCGAAACTTCTCATTTACAGAAATTGTATCTCTGTGATCATTTTCTGAATTCATTAACTGTTTTAACAAATTTAGGTTTTTAGCTTTGAAAAAAAAACCCCACCAAAAACAGCACAATAGGCTACCAGTGAGGTGTGTAGATGCTGCTGCATGTAAAAAAGAGACACTAAGCACCCTCAGAAATGGAGCCATAGAAGGCTTCTCCGAGATTTTTCTGCTGAGATGGTTGGGGCAGTCCTGCAGTGCAGGCATTACTATTATCCCAGATGCAGGAAACAAGGCTGAGTAAAGTGTTTAAATTTCTCAGACTCACACAGCAAGTAGCAAAAGTAGAATTCGAGCCCAGGTCTCTAATCCAAACTCTATGTTTTCCACGAGCCTAGGCCCCCTCACGCCTGTTCCTTACAGTAGCAGAACCCAAATGGATGAATTTAGAGAGGGGATGATAAGTGCTTCATCTTTTAAACACAATCTTAGTACCATTAGTTAATACTTGAATAAAACTATTCGGAAGAGACAGATATTATTACCATTAAGAACAGCAGAAGGACACAAATTATGGTGATGACTTTGTGGCTATATGGCTGCTCCCCTTCACTGGCAGAGGCAAAAAAGTCTAGATCAGTGGTCCTCAACCTTCCATGACCCTTTAATATAGTTCCTCATGTTGTGGTGACCCCCAACCATAAAATTATTTTCGTTGCTACTTCATAACTGTAATTTTGCTACTGTTATGAATCGTAATGTAAATATCTGATATATAGGATGTATTTTCATTGTTACAAATTAAACATAATTAAAGCATAGTGATTAATCACAAAAACAATATGTAATTATATATGTGTTTTCCGATGGTCTTAGGCAACCCCTGTGAAAGAGTCGTTTGACCCCCAAAGGGGTTGCGACCCACAGGTTGAGAACCGCTGCTCTAGATGGTTCCATTGGTGCTGAACCTGAGGATGCCCGTACATCTCCACGACCACTCCAGGGAAGTTCTGGAACACGGAGTCCTGGCAGCTGCCTTCTTATGCTCAATAAATACTTCTTGCCTGAGAAAAAGGCAAATGCTTACAAACCAAATGATACATTACTGCGGTTATTCTCTTTTGTTCTGTAAGCAATGTTGTGCTATTCTCTTTTTAAACAGCCATTAACTAATATTTTTGAAGAAAATGAAGATAATCATCTGTTTTTGCATTTGGGCAGCAGCATGGGCCATTCCGGTGAGTATGCCATCTTCAGGAAACCTCCTTATTTGGCTATCCCTTTTAACCTAACATAAATATAGAAGCCTTTGCAGGTAAGCTGAGCCTAAACATTCAGATTTGCATGAAAGACTTGACAGGATATCTCTGGGGGTCTCAACAAAGCCAAACATGACTCCAAGCTCATGCTCCTATTTCTCCAATCAAAACTCATGCTGCTCAGAAGGATTCTTATTTAAAAATTCATTCAGATCAATTTACATTCAATCCCCAGAAATCATGAAAATTTTGTTCATCTTTGCTCATGTGCCCCAAACTGCACTCTAATATCAATGAAACCTGTATTGCTTAGAAAGTTTTCAAGAAAGAAAAGTAGCATTCTTTAACATAGAAGAAAAGTAACAGAGTTAATGTTTATATGCTCACAGTAGAAAATTTGGGAAAAAAACCAACACCAACAAAGAAAAATTAAGAAAATTCAACCATTTGTAATTTTATTAGCCAGCTGCTATGGTTAACATTTTTTACATGTTTTCATAATACCAAATGCTTTGGTATTAATGTAGTTGAGAATTTCCTCAACTATTTCAAATGTGCTCCTGAGGACACATAGTCTATTACTTGGTTTTTCTTATGCACTGGCTCTGGTCATACCAACTATCCTCCTGGGGGATTTGGCCAGGATTATACTTAGGGTAGGTCTTGTACTTTGCAAGAGGCTTATTGTAGAGAAACACCCAAGATCTACCCTCTTATCTTTAGAAAAGTCTGTTCCTCTTCTGTAGTTGAGATGAATGGTCTGGTTAATTCTTCAATAAAATTGACAACACCGTTGTGAAAACGATCTGTATGCCCGTTGTGAAAACGATCTGTATGCCCGTTTAAATTCCATATAAACCCTATAAAAAGTCATTTCTCTTTTCCACCTAATTAGAGCATATGTTGGCCTTTGTGTTATATCTCCCCCCCACCCCCCGCCTTCATTTAGGGAAAAATGTGTGTGTCTGTGTATGTGAATGCACACAAAATAAGAATGTTTTTGATTTTCATAGGTTCCTCAAATCAAGTCATTGGAGAGACATGCTGTTGGCCAATCTGTGAATTTAAGTCTTCCAGCAAAATTAAAAACGCCAGTACAGGTATAGGGTATAAAATGTGTTTCTAAGGTGTTTTTAGATTTCATTACCTTCCAAAAAACTGATGCTCAGCTTTTCAGTTTCACGATGATTTTCACTATTTATTTTGAATTGTTTCTTTTTCAGGATGAGTTATATGCTAATGATACCACCAAAGAAAGTGGTGTCCCTATGCATGAAAATGAAACGGGAAGGCAACAGTATACCAAAGATGGTTACAGAGTAGAAGGAAATGGCCCTGAGTGGGCAGGAGTAGGAAGGGAAAGTTCTTCTACACATTCCATGTCAGTAAATGAAGAGGGGAATCCCGAGGATGTGAATGGGGGCACAGAAAAGCCAGAAACATATGGTCATGATGGAATACATGGTATTAGGAGACAAGTAAGCACTATTGACATGACTGGCGCAGCAAATGGGAGCAATATTAATGGAAATACTGATGAGAATTTTAAAAATGGGGATGTTGGAGATGCAAGTCAGAGTGAGAATGCCACTGTGGTTGACGAAGATGAGCATCAAGTATCTGGAAGCAGTAACAGTACAGGCCGTGAGGATGACATGAATGGGAATTCCTGTACAAATGAGGGTGACACAAGTGCAGTAACACCTCAGAAAGAAGGTGAGAGAAATGGTCATGAGGGGGCAGGGGTAACACCAGGGGGAAGCGGAGCTGGCCATACAGAAGATGCTGGCCTCGATAATTCTGATGGGAGTCCTAGTGGGGATGGAACAGATGAGGGTGAAGACAAGGGCTCTGGTGATAATGAAGGTGAAGAAACGGGAAATGGAAAAGATGGCACTGATAAAAGCCAGGGCCAGGAGGGCCAGGGTCATGGAAAAGAAGGCGGCAATGATAATAGCTCAAGTAAAAATTCAATGAGCAGTGAAGATGATGACCCTGAGGACAAAGAAGATCCCCACGACACCGATGGAGACAATGACTCCGAGACTGAGGAGGATTCTGATCGGATCCTAGAAGAAAATGATAGCCCAAGAATGGAGGACATCCAGAACACCAATCACAGAGAAAGCCATGGTGTGGATAATGGAATTACCAAAGAATCAGAGCCAAGTACGAATGGGAAGAGCCAAGATAAGGTTAGTTTGTGAAGTTGATTTTTTAAATAGCAGTTTAAATTCTCTCTTCCACCCAACTAATGGTAGCACAAAAAATAATCATGACTAGCATTCATGTATTTTCGTACCTAAATTACTTGACTATCTGATGGGAAAGCCAGAGTTCTTACTAGATTCTGATATACAACATTTAAAAAAATATTTTATCAATTTTTTATAGAGAGGAAGGGAGAGGGATAGAGAGTTAGAAACATTGATGAGAGAGAAACATTGATCAGCTGCCTCCTGTACACCTCCCACTGGGGATGTGCCCGCAACCAAGGTACATGCCCTTGACCGGAATCGAACCTGAGAACTTTCAGTCCACAGGTCCATGCGTTATCCACTGAGCAAAACTGGTTAGGCAATATACAACAAAAATATACAAAAAAAAAATCAGATATTTCTGAAAATTTGGTTAAAATTCTAGAAAAGTCTTATGCTAAATAATGTCTGCACCATAAATGTTCCTACTGGGTGAAATATGTGGCTGGGTTGTTATATAACCCAAACACTAGAGCATTTTCAAGTACTGAATCCAGCACATTTTCACAAACAGATGTTTCTGAAGTACTGGAAGCTGACCTTGTGTTTCACTGGTCAATTTTCTCAGCCAGTGTTCCTCAGACCAATGCAATTTTGCAGTATAACATTTACTAATTACCCATTCTTCCACAGGGAATAGAAATTGGAGGTCCCAGCAGTGGCAATAGAAACAATCTTACCAAAGAAGCTGGGAAAGTCATTGGCGATAAAGAGAGTAAAGGACAACATGGAGTGATTGTGGGCAACGGAAATGTCCAGACACAAGGGGAGATTGACAACATGCAAGAACCTGGCCAGAAGTTAGAACCTGGAAACAAGGTTGAACACGGCCAAACAGGTAGTGAGAGTAACAGTGATGGTTATGATAGTTATGAGTTTGACGATGAATCCATGCAAGGCGATGATCCCAACAGCAGCGATGAGTCTAATGGCAATGATGATGCCAATTCTGAAGGTGACAATGACAGCAGTAGCCGAGGAGATGCATCTTATAACTCAGATGAATCAAAAGATAGTGACAACGACAGTGATTCAAAAGGAGAAGGAGATGAGGACAGTGACAACACATCAGATGCTAGTGATAGTGACAGTAACGACAATGGTAACAACGGAAGTGATGATAGTGAATCAGACAGCAGCAAAGATAAATCAGACATCAGTGACAGCAGTGACAGTAGTGATAGTAGTGACAGCAGTGACAGCAGTGACAGCAGTGACAGCAGCGATAGTAGTGACAGCAGTGACAGCAAATCAGATAGCAGTGATAGCAGTGACAGCAGTGACAGTAGTGATAGTAGTGACAGCAGTGACAGCAAATCAGACAGCAGTGACAGTAGTGACAACAGTGATAGTAGTGACAGTAGTGACAGCAGTGACAGCAGCGATAGTAGTGACAGCAGTGACAGTAGTGATAGTAGTGACAGTAAATCAGATAGCAGTGACAGCAGTGACAGTAGTGACAGCAGTGACAGTAGTGACAGCAGTGACAGTAGTGACAGTAGTGACAGTAAATCAGATAGCAGTGACAGCAGTGACAGTAGTGACAGCAGTGACAGTAGTGACAGCAGTGACAGCAGTGATAGTAGTGACAGCAGTGACAGTAGTGACAGCAGTGATAGTAGTGACAGCAGTGACAGTAGTGACAGCAGTGATAGTAGTGACAGATCAGATAGCAGTGATAGTAGTGAAGTAGTGACAGCAGTGACAGTAGTGACAGCAGTGACAGCAGTGATAGTAGTGACAGCAGTGACAGCAGTGACAGTAAATCAGATAGCAGTGACAGTAGTGACAGCAGCGATAGTAGTGACAGCAGCGATAGTAGTGACAGCAGTGACAGTAGTGATAGTAGTGACAGTAAATCAGATAGCAGCGATAGTAGTGACAGCAGTGACAGCAGCGATAGTAGTGACAGCAGTGACAGCAGCGATAGTAGTGACAGCAGTGACAGCAGTGACAGTAGTGACAGCAAATCAGACAGCAATGACAGTAGTGACAGCAGTGACAGTAGTGATAGTAGTGACACTAAATCAGATAGCAGTGACAGCAGTGACAGCAGTGACAGCAGTGACAGTAGTGATAGTAGTGACAGTAAATCAGATAGCAGTGACAGTAGTGACAGCAGTGACAGCAGTGACAGCAGTGACAGCAGTGATAGTAGTGACAGCAGCGATAGTAGTGACAGCAGTGACAGTAGTGACAGCAGTGACAGCAAATCAGACAGCAGTGACAGCAATGAAAGCAGCGACAGTGCATCTGACAGTAGTGATGAGAGTGACAGCAAGAGCAAGTCTCCTAATGGCAACAACAATGAAAGTGATAGTGACAGTGACAGTGAAGGCAGTGACAGTAATCACTCAACCAGTGATGATTAGAATAAACAAAAACCCCACAAGATTTCTTGTGTGAAAAGTTTGGTGAGTGACAGGAAATAAAGATTTCCAAGAAAGTAAGGAGAAGGGAGAAGAAAACAGAAGGCATGTAAACAACCACAGAATTAAGTCAAATGGATGGATTCAGTCCAACTCCCAACTCCCTCAGAGAGAATCTGAATGAGTGGCCTTTGGTACATGCGTGTTAAAATATATTCTGAAAAGATTTTGCTAAAGTTGTACATCTAAACATAAGAGAACAATTAAAGTATTATTTAATACTTTATACAGATATCTCAAGTAATCACGTACTACAGGATAATCTCAATCCAAATGCCAAGTGCTTTAGAATGTGGCAAGTAAATACTTCTTATAAACAGCTTGTGACTTTGCCTTAATCTTTTGAGTAATTATATTTTCTGAATAGACGGTCTGCTCACTGCTGAGTAAAGGATGCTGTTACTATACCCACCTTGGCTACTAATTCATTTACTTATCCCAAGAAATGCACCTGTAACGAAAAAAAAAGCAGCAATATTTTAACCTTTTTGGGAATAATCTTTGTAATTATTGAATAGAGCAATTCCAAGTTAGGGAAATTCTAGAGTGTTAGAGAGGAATCGAAACATTGATTTAAACAAAACCTGATACTTAGTATTACATTCCTGCAAACCACTGGAAATTTGGCACAAAGTCCCTAAAACTACTGACAAAACTGGTGCAGTGCTTAGAACAGTGTCTCGCCTCCAGGAGCCACTTTCCAAATAGTAATAAATAAATGGAGACAAGAATGGACTTTGGGTGGGGCGGAGTGGGGAGGGATGGTGGTGTTCAATTTTGAACTCTGTTAAGTGAAATCAGTTGTCTTCTGCCTCAATCTCACAAAGTCAAACTTGGTTCACATTTCGCTTTTAAACCCCCACAAACCAAAACTTCCAGATCAGACCTAGCGACTCTCTTCTCACTACTAATCTCTTTAATAAAGCCAACAGTTGCTGGTGACCAGTGTTTGGAAATGACTCGTTTTTATTATTATTTGAGTCTTATACGTATGTAGCTAAAATCTGAGCATGGATCTTCAGCCTTTTCATGAATGAGGGTAATTTTTAGTTTTGGGATGAAGCCCAAATGCTAGAATGTGAGGATCTTAAAAATGTATGAGCCTAGAGTCTACAGTGGTCGGCAAACGCATTAGTCAACAGAGCCAAATATCAACAGTACAACGATTGAAATTTCTTTTGAGAGCCAACTTTTTAAAACTTAAACTATATAGGTAGGTACATGGTTATTAACTTAATAAGGCTTAGGAAGAGCCACACTCAAGGGGCCAAAGAGCCACATGTGGCTCGCGAGCCGCAGTTTGCTGACCATGGGCCTAGAGTCTAGGCCAGCCGTGGGCAAACTACGGCCCGCTGACTCAAACTAGGACACTTTTGAGAGTAAAAGGGGTGCTATCAATAATTACTTGGGGACAGGAGGTGAAAATTGGACTGTCTGGGGACACTGGAGATACAATGAACATAACCATAAAACTTTAGGGTATATTTTCAAGATTTAGTAGTGATGATTTTTCATTTCCCTCTTTTTCCATGTAGGCAATTATTTTAAGTTTGTTCTATTTCAAAGTTAAACATCTATATAGGGAAGTTTTGGATGCAACTATTTTTTAAAAATGTATTTTATTGATTTTTTACAGAGAGGAAGGGAGAGGGATAGAGAGTTAGAAACATCGACCAGCTGCCTCCTGCACACCTCCCACTGGGGATGTGCCTGCAACCCAGGTACATGCCCTTGACCGGAATCGAACCTGGGACCTTTCAGTCCGCAGGCCGACACTCTATCCACTGAGCCAAACTGGTTTGGCTGGATGCAACTTTTTAAATGTTAATTTTCAACCAGGCATTAGTTGACAATGTATGCTCTAAGATTAGGCGTATTTTACCCAAAGAGTTTCAGTAGGTTGTTTTTTCTGCCTCCTTCCTCCCATATGCAAGAGTTTCTTCATTAGGGGATCAATACTGCAAAGAATATCTCTGAAGGCTTTAAAACACTGCTATTCATAAACTACTTGATAGCTCAAAATACTGTGAAATTTCAGGTTTCAATATATGCAAATCATGTCAATCACTTCAAACTTCTTTTGTGAAAGTATGCTCTAGATTTTGAACTCCTTTAAACTTTAGGTTATTTTTTTAAAAAAATGTATGAAGTGCTGCTTCTAGTATTTGTCCCACCTATTTCAAAAGGTTGTGATGAGCACTCAGGCAATGGATGTGGAACTCTGTAAGTTGTACAAGATATGTAAATGACAGATAATGAATTTTGGTGTTATAATAAACATCTGTTTATATAATTGTCCTCAAAGAAATCTCCCTTTATCTTAATGAGTTTACATAACATGTTATAAAATTAACTTTAAGATAAATATATCTTTATTGATTTCAGAGAGGAAGGGAGAGGGAGAGAGAGAAAAACATCAATGATGAGAGAGAATTATTAACTGGGAATTGAACTGTGACCTCCTGGATTATCTGTCAACACTCAACCACTGAACCACACTGGCCAGGCAAAAATGAACTATTTTTAATTGAAAAAGTAATATATGTATATACACAAAATAAAAAATTCAAACACTATGAAAAGGTGTACAAAAATATTAAATCTCTGCAATCCTAGACTCCCAGTCCTCTATTTCTCTTCCCTAGAGGCAATTCCCATGACTAATATCCTGTTGAACTCTCCAAAAATATTTTATACACATATAAGCATATATGTCCCCTTTTTAAAACACATGGAAGTCTACTATACACAATGCACTTTTTAACCTAAGAATGTACCTTGAATAGAACACAGATTGATAATCTGTGTTGTATTTCATTTTGTGAACTGCCATAAGTACTTAATCTCTGCCTATTTTTCTATTACTTTCTGAGCCATTCATGGAGTGAACTCCTCAGGTGTCACCAGAGTCTAATGGCCCAAGCTGCATACAGTTTCAGCCAGTTCTAATAAAGATTTCATCTTAAGAAGTGTTCCTGGGGGTGGAAGATGTTCAGAACTTAAAGCTGATGCCAGAAACAGTGAAGGAAGACTATGATCCTGATTTTCTTATGTAATGAAATTGGCATCAGCCTCTGGACCTTTGAGGCAAAAGTGGAGACACTTTAAAAGAATGTCTCAAGAGTAGACCCTTTGTACATAGGAAGTCTGCTGTTAGAAAACACAATTAGTTTGGGGTCATTTTCTGGAATAAAGATTAATAAGCTATCTGCTAATATTGCCCACAAGAGTAATTTTTTAAACTGCAGGTTGTCACTAATTTTTTAAAAATATATTTTTATTGATTTCAGAGAGGAAAGGAGAGGGAGAAAGAAATAGAAACATCAATGATGAGAGAGAATCATTGATCAGCTGCCTTCTGCACACCCCCTACTTGGGATTGAGCCCACAACCCAGCATGTGCCCTTAACCAGAATTGAACCTGGGACCCTCAGTCTGCAGGGCAATGCTCTGCTCACTGAACCAAACCAGCTAGGGCTTGTCACTCAGTAAGTACTGATATCAGTTTAGTGACTTATGACCAAAATTTTATAAAATGAAATAATAAAAAAGGAAAATATAGTGCATCAGATGTAGTGTTTTGTGAAACTTGACATTTATCTCTATATACGCACTAGAGGCCTGGTGCATAAATTCATGCACCAGTGGGGTCCTTCAGCCCAGCCTGCAGGATTGGGCTGAAACCAGCTCTCCAACATCCCCCAAGGGGTCCTGGATTGTGAGAAGGCACAGGCCAGGCTGAGGGACCACAATGGTGCATAATTGGGGCCAGGGAGGGACACTGGAGGTTGGCCAGCCAGGGAGGGACTGTGGGCTCCAGGGCATGTCCAGCTCATCTCACTCAGTCCCAATCAGCCGTACCCCAGCAGGAAGCCAACCTACCAGGTGGAGTGTCTGCCCCTTGGTGGTCAGTGCATGTCATAGTGACTGGTTGACCCGTGGACTATCTGCCCCCTGGTGGTTAGTGTACGTCATAGTGAGCAGTTGAGCAGCCTTAGCATATCATTAGCATATTATGCATTGATTGGTTGAATGGCCAAGCAGACAACTGGACACTTTGCATAATAGGCTTTTATTATATAGGATATACACACATATGTCTAAGTATGCTTATACCAGGACATGATGTAAAATGTCATTCTGGAAGGAGAAACCAAGATGGCAGCATAGGTAAACACCAGAAATTGCTGCCTCGCACAACCACTTCAAAAATACAACTAAAAGACAAAATGGACATCATCCAGAACCACAGAAAGGCTGGCATAGTGGAAATTCTACAACTAAATGGAAAGAGAAAAAGCACACTGAGACTCAGAGGAGGTGCAGAAGTAAAGTGCAGAGGTGCAGAGGTACAGAGGTGCACATGGAAAGGGCTGGAAACTGAGGATGTGGTTGTTTCTTTCAATACAGAGGGAGTCTCAAGCTCCCAACTGCTCTGAACTCCAGTTCCAGGCAAGTGACTGGGGACCCAGACTCATACAGGGAGAAACTGGACTGTCTGGCATCCGGGAGACCTCGAGAGAGGCTTTCTCTCAGAGGTGCTTGCAGCGATTACCACGGGACACTGAGACCCGGGGCTACTCCCAGCAGGGCTGAGGACCAGCCATAGCTGTTTGCTCTGCCCTGTTGATTCCCTGAGACCCTGCCCCACCCAAGCTGTGCCCAGAGGCTTTTGCATAAGAAAGGGTCTGGTCCGTTGCAATCTAAAATTACCTAACAAATTGCGGCTGAGTAACAGAGACCCAGAACAACCAAAAGAAGGTCCAAGGCCCCACAGCAGCTTGCATTGCTTCACAGCTGGGCCTCATCTGAGCATCTCCAAAATCCAAACAAAGAAGAGGAATCTGCAGATCTCTCCATAGCTCCTGCTGGGTAGCCTCAGGCAGAGGCTAAATTAGCACCTTCTTAGAGATCCAAGAGCCAGTGTACCCAGTGGTCAGAGT